GACTTTAAATAATATAATATTAAAAGAGAAAGACTTTGTACAAAAAATGGAAAGAGAGTTAGATTTTTTCTTCAAGGAAAATAAGAAAGAAGAAACATCGGCACAAAATCATTGGGATACAATGAAGGCCTATGCCAGAGGCTTAATTATGGACTATACAAGGAAAAGAAATGTGAAGAAAAGACAATATTGACTGATATAAAATATTGACTGATGACTATAAAAGATGTGAAAAGGAACTCCAAAAAGATCCATATAAGAAAGATGTTAAAATTAAAATGGACATAATAAAGCATAAAATGGATCTACTGGAGAAGGAAGAATTAGCCCCAAAAATAAGAAATGCCAAACAGAACTATTTTGAATGTGCGAATAAACCAGGAAGATGGCTAGCATATAAATCGAAAAAAGAAAAAGAGTCAAGAAAAACAACACAATTAATTGATGATCAAGGGCAAAGTAAATTTGGAAATAAAGAGATGGGGAAAATAATACAAGAATATTATAGACAATTATACAAAAGAGAGATAATAGAGGAGGGAAAAGTGAAAAGATATTTACAAGAAGCAAAATTACCTTGGATTTCCAAAGATATGGAGGAGATGTTGGAAGGAAATATAACGATGATGGAGTTAACAGAAGCAATTAAGAAACAAAAGAATACAAGCTCCAAGTGTTTGCTGATGATCTTGTATTCATCTTGGAAGACCCCCTAACTTCAGGTCCGATACTGCTAAGGAGAATTGAAGAATATAGAGAAGCTGCGAGATTAAAAATTAACAAAGATAAAACTAAAATGATATCCAAAAACTTAACAGAGGATCAAAAAAATAAGGTGCAGAAAGCTATGGGACTTAAATTTACTAAGAAGGTAAAATATCTAGGGATTTGGATGACAAACAAATGCTCTAATATTAAAGAGACCAGTTACTTCAAACTATTGGCTGATACAGTAGAGGACCTAGATAGATGGAAGAATATACAGCTTTCACTTTTGGGCAGGGTTGCTGCAATCAAAGCCCATATCCTCCCACGGTGGATTTTTCTATTTCAAACGGCTCCTGCAAATTTGGATAAAAATTTCTTTAGAAAATTGGAACAGGCAATATGCAAATTTATCTGGCAAGGGAAAAAAACATGAATTAAGAGAAAAATGTTACAGGAACACAAAACGGGGGGGGGGGCTTGGGGCTCCCAAATTGGGAGTTATATTACCAAGCCTCGTCCCTTCTTTGGATAAGAGACTGGGTATCCCTTTCGAGGAAACGCATATTAACGATTGAGGGATTTGATCTTCACCAAGGCTGGCACTCAGCTTTGTGGGCACAACAAGGAAAACAATCTAAATATTTTACTAACCACTATATTAGAAGAATTTTAATAAAAATATGGGAAAAGGTGAAGAAACAAACTTATACCCAAGTTCCTAAATGGGTGGTCCCACTGGAGATAGCAACCTACCCGACGGTTTATAATATAAAAAGAAATTGGACCTACAACATCCTGATGGATGGAGGAGGGAACTTAATATCAAGAAAGGAAATCCAAGTAAAAGGAATAGATATAGATTGGTGGTCATATGCCCAAACTCAAGCTAGATTCAGAAAAGACAAACAAGAGTATGGTATTTACCAAACGACACAACTGTTAGATAGACTCCTTCTGGGTGTTGAAACAAAATTTATATCTAAGACCTATAATCTTTTGTTGTTATACAGCTGAGGAGATAGTAAAAGATATGATGATTGCCTGGGGAAGAAATTTAGGAAGACTGATACAACTTGAAGAATGGCAGGGAATATGGAGTAGATCAATGAAATTGACATTATCAACAGCATTTAAGGAGAACTTTTATAAAATGATCTATAGGTGGTAACTTCCACCAGATATAGCTGGTAACTCCTACCAGCTAAAATGTTCCCTGGATCCTCGGATAAATGTTGGAAGTGCAATTCGGCCAGGGGTACTTTCTTTCACCAGTGGTGGACCTGTCCTCAGATCAAAAATGGTTGAATGAGATAATAGGTGTGTCAGCACTTCAAGCTGCATTCACTCTAGTGTTGACATAAGAAGAAGTGGAGGCATCTGGAAAGGGACATTTGACTTTTCACCTACTTATTTTCCCTGGAGATAATATCCCCTAGGAGAGGGGATGGGAGGAGGAAAATTCCTTTGAGCTGGAGCGGTAAGATTAGGGGTAGAATGACTTGGAAGATGGCCAATGAGTGCAGGGGAGTGGGGAATGGAAAGGGAGGGTTTTGGGTCTGGAAGTCACGTGTTGACTTCAATGGAGTCAGGTTGTAGAATGTCGTGCTTAATAAATAGGAGTTTTTTCTTCAAAGACTTTGTTTGAAATGCAATTTATTTGAGACGACCTCGAAACTTGACAAGGTGCAAGTTTCCCCCTAATTCCAGATTCTTACTTACTTGGAATCAAACTAAAAGACGTGGGCAAACAAGACTGGCATTTATTCATCCATATTACAACAGCTGCGAGAATGGCACTTGCCCAACATTGGAAAAATGTAAATGCACCATCAGATCAATTTATAATAAACAAGATATTGAATTGTGCTGAACTGGACAAATTAACGTATATCCTAAGAGACAAAAAAGAATCCATCTATTACAGCAATTGGGAACACTGGTATTTATGGTTAAGGAAGAGGACAAATATAGAATAAATAACATAGTATTAAATATATACTTAATTATAATGAGATAGCGTTTACTATTTAAAATAGTCAACGCTAATTGAACAAAAGGATTTACTGGGATGTAACTATGAATAAATATTTGGGGGTTTGATACAACCCCCGGTTTGTCTTTCTCTGTGGTTGTCTTTATATGTTGTGTTGTATATATATGGGTATATACAACTTATATTTGTTCAAAAATTACACTATATGTTTTTTTATCTGTAAATAATTAATAAAGCTCTATAAAAAAAAGAAACAAAAGAATGGAAAGGCACCAGGGCCAGATGGTCTGTCTATTGAATATTATAGGACATTACAAGAAATTTTGAGACTCCCACTATTGGATGTTATGAATGAAGTGATGATAAAGAAGGAAATATCCAAATCATGGACTGAGGCGTATATTACGCTGATTCATAAAGACACAGACCCACAACAAATCCAAAACTATAGGCCTATACCCTTGCTAAATTCGGACTATAAAATTTTTGCTTCGATATTGGCAGAAAGTCTTAAGAGATACTTGAATAATTTCATACATATAGATCAAAATGGTTTCCTCCCAAAAAGACAAATCAGAGATAATGTAAGAATAATTCTGGACACATTACAATATTATGAAGCTCATCCGGAAAAGCAGATGGCTTTGATATTTTTAGACGCTCAAAAAGCCTTTGATAATGTAAATTGGCGATTTATGATGTTTCAAATGGAAGAGATGGGCTTTGGCAGAAAATTTGTCCAGGCAATTGAAGCAATATATTGCAAACAGACTGCAAAAGTAATGATTAATGGAAAATTGACTCATTCTATTGAGATAGAAAAAGGTACTAGACAAGGATGCCCACTGTCACTTTTGTTTATATTGACGTTGGAAGTTTTAAATAGAAATATTAGAGAAGAAAGAGATAAAAGGTATGAAAATTCAAAAAGAGTATAAATTGCAAGCCTTTGCAGATGACCTGGTCTTCATTATAGAAGAACCATTAACAACAATAAATAAATTGATAGAAACTATTGGTGAATTTGGGAAAGTAGCAGGCTTGAAAATTAATAAAGATAAAACGAAGATAATGACAAAAAATATGTTGAAAAAGCAAAAAGAGGAACTGATGGAGATCTCGAAGATGCAGGTCACAAATAAGGTAGAATATTTGGGGATATATTTGACAACAAGATGTAGTGCACTTAAAGAAAATAATTATAATAAGCTCAAACAACAGATAGGGCAAGACTTGGTGAAATGGGGAAATTTGCAGTTATCATTGATTGGTAGGATCTCAACTATTAAGATGAACATTTTGCCTAGAATTTTGTATTTATTCCAGATAATTCCAATTAAGTTGGGTGAGGAATTTTTTGAAGACTTGAATAAAATGATGTTGAAATATATTTGGCAGGGGAAAAAGGCGAGGATAAGATTAAAGTTGTTACAAGATACTAAAATGAGAGGTGGTTTTGGTCTGCCTAACTTTGAACTTCATTATCAAGCAACAAGTTTAATGTGAATTAAAGAATGGATAACTTTGAGAAACACCAGATTATTGAATTTGGAGGGACATGATTTGTTGATGGGATGGGATGCCTTTTTATGGTATAAAAGAACAAAAATGCAGGGGTATTTTAGAAGGCACCAGATACGAGAAGCTTTACTGTTGAACTGAGAGAAGGTTAAAAAACATTATTACTTAAAAATTCCAGTCTGGGTATCCACGATTGAAGCCTTTACATACTCAGTTGTATTTAAAAGGGAACAAATTGGTAGATATAGTGAATTATTGGATGAAAAGGGTGAACAAAGCAAGAACTAGAAGATCAGGGTTATAAGATGGATTGGTTTTCATATGCTCAAATACCTTCTAGATATGAAGATCTCAAACAAGGTTTTTATAATGTTTCGACTAATTTAGGTAAGATTTTAATGGGTTCTGATGATCATGTAATTAAAAAAACTATATGGTTATTTGTTAGAGATGAAATTGGAAGAACAAGTTAAAGAATCAATGATAGCTTGGGGGAAAAAATTTGGTCATGGTATTGATTTAGAGAAATGGCAAAAATTGTGGTCATATAATATAAGATGATAATGTCTACAGCATATAAGAAGAATTTGTATAAGATGTTTTACAGGTGGCACCTACCCCTGACTAGGATAGCCATTTCTCAAGAATAAATCGGAGAACTGTTGGAAGTGTCATCAGACTCCAGGATCATATTACCATATGTGGTGGACATATGTAGAAGCAAAGAGATATTGGACTAAGATACACACGTGGTTGGAAAAAATGATGAAGAGACATATTGACTTTAAACCAGAGATATTTTTATTAGGGATCTTACCAGAGACATATGAGAATTGCAATATTTAATTGTGAATATTTTAACAGCGGCTAGAATCGTATTTGCTAAAAACTGGAGAGAAAATACCTACTGAAGAAATTATTAAGAAAATGTTGGATTATGCTGAAATGAATAAACTGACATTTGAAATAAAAGAACAGGAAGACAATCAATATTATTTGATATGGGGTTTATTTTATCATTGGATAGATAATAAAATATGGAGATGAAATATGATATATGAAGTGGAAGTTAAGATAAAATGTGTAAAAATTTGTCTTCAGGGAAAAGAAGCTTGTGTCATATATGGATATTTTGAAGATTTTGTGAGCACAAAAGGATACTAACCAATTGATACACTGTCTGTAAATGTTTGAACGGATGATACTTTTATGTTTTTTATTTGAAATAAAAAATTGTTTTTCAAAAAAAAAAAAAGTGTGACAGCTATCTCAGTAAGAAAGCACACCCCAATGATTGGGTGACCCTACGAATGACTAGGGAGAAAACAATTTTAAAATGATATTGATAATTTTAAAGCAATTTTCCTTCATATTTGAGGATTGTTTTGTATTGAAATAAGCACGTTCTGCAAAAAGCAAAATACATCTTCATAACAAAAAATGTGTGCATTAATAAGAAACAAGCCCTATTAAGTTCATTGACACAGACTCTTATTGAATTTGTATATCAATCTCATAATACTTTAGGCAATTGTGGAAGCCTGCCAGGTCTATTTCTTTTCAGCTGTTGGATGTTGTCTGTTGAACCAAAAAGGACTTGAGGATATGTGTCATAAAAAGACAGATGTCTTTGCACAATAGGAAATGTGGTGTGTGCAAACCAGCAGATATTTCTAAATTACAACATAAAAATATATATTTATTATATGAATCATATTAATTTGTTAACATGTTACTGAATGCTTCTCTACAGTTTCAAATAACTTTTTTTATTTAGTAGTGGATCTGGAAATCAATAAAGGTCCAGCATTATGTGGACACCGTTTTAAGGAAGTCATAGGGCCCTTCAATGAGGGCTTCATGTTTAGTTCTGAAGACTGAAGGTAGAATAGCTATTAATTCTTTAGGACTCAGAGAGTGCAATGGAGGCTTCAGTGAACTGGAAAATCTCTTCGTCATACAGCTCATCAGGCAGCTCTTCAGAATCAGCAAAAAATGTTGGAAATGGTGGATTCTTAAGATTATCTTGGTAAGCTGGTAAAACTGTGTCAGTGACCTAGAATATAAGAGCCAGAGGAATTGAAAAGAAAGCACAACAAAATTTCACATAACTCAAAACATTCCCAATAAAATAGGTACTAGCTGCCCTTTAAAAGTTTATTATTGTTTTTGATTTTGCCTGTCATTAGTAACAAAACCAACAATTAAAAATCAAACATTTATCATAAATTGGGGACATGTGACAAGAAAAAGAAATATTGGGTACAGATCATGGTTTAATTCAGAAAGTTTTAAAAATGAATTTACAATGGAAACCAGAAACTTTTTAGAAGTGTTAAAGAATTGGGGGGGGGGGGTTGGAACTCTACTGCTATATATGATGTCAGCTGCAGGAATATATGCCCAGAAATGGAAAGTGTTAACTCCCACAATGGAGGAATGGATTGAAAAGATGATGAATGAAGCCGACTGCATTAATTAGGAACAAGAATGTAAATAATTTTGCAGTTATTTAGAAACGCTTCTGAACTTTGTGTGAAAGAGAAAAACAATGAAACTTTGAGTCTGGTTTTTGACAACTGAGTTAAATGAATGGCTACTGGTTATTATTTGGCAAAACTAAAAAGTTGGCATTACAACTTTACTACCTTTTTTTTTATACTGAAAAAAGTCAGAAGTTACTGCTTTTTGTTTTTTATTTCTTTTCCCTTTCCTCATTTTATCACCTCTATTCTTTTTCCTTTCAAATTTTTCCATTGTCTTTATTTCTATTTCTATTTTATATTAAGAAACATGCAACTCCCCCCCCCCACACACAATTATGCTATTGAAAGTAAAGTTTTCAAGTGTGACCCTCCAAAATTCTACAAAGCAGAATAACTAAAAATAACTTGAGCAATGTGAGAAACATGTCTGGGTAGCAAGTGAAATAACCACTTATACTGTTGTTGAACAAAAGCTCCAGGCTATACCAAACCATTTTTAGGAATATATTAAATGCTGAAGACACCTATGTAGCAAAGAAAAGCATTTCCTCTCAGCAAAAATAATACCCAAAGGCTATGTGTTGAGCAAAGAATTTCTTTCTGTAAGACATCTTGACTGCTTCTTTGATAAGAGTTACTAAATGCTGAGCAACTTGCTGAGCAGGTCAATAAGTTCTCCCAAGTGAACTGTGTATCAGACAATTATTTTTATTTACTGCCTACATTAACTTGTAACATTGTTACATTACCTGGTAACATTGTTAGCTGTCACTCATTGTTTACCTACATCATGCCTCAGATTTTTTTTTAGTCACATCTTCTCTATTACGAGTTAAGGAAAGCCAACTTTGTATCACACATACACACACACACACTCACCCTATAGTGTCTTGTCAAATGAGAGAATATTGTCCAGTGTTGTCACAAGCAAGGACAAAAGAAACAATTCTGAAACTACATGAGATACTCCAATGACAAATTTATCTTTCAATGAAAGTTAAGCAATAGAATTGGCACAAGAACACACTATTTTGCTATTTTTTAATATTGCTTTTATTCTTTTCTGCTTTATTTATTCTGCTTCATTCAACTATGGGAATACAACAAGGAATCAAAATATCACTAGTAAGCAATGATACAACATTATCATTTTCATAAAAAATAAATTCAAAGTTTTATAGTTTGCTAATTCAAAGTTTGCAACTCGGCCTTCACTACACAGGACTTGAACTGCTTATTTTGTACATTAATATATTTATATACCACCTATTTATTTAAAGAGATTATAAGATGTATACAATTATAAAGATTATGGACCAAAAAGCTGATTAATGTATTATAAATTTCAGTTTATTTATATTAAAAATAGAAAAACAAAACTCTCTGCACAGTTTTTGTTATTTGACATAATGCATGGTGAGCATGAAACTATGCACTGTTTAAAAATGTGATGTTCACGTTTTTTTTTAAATTAAATTTTCAGAAAGAATTTATGACATTCATTTAAGCTACATTCAGCTTACTGAGAAGAATGCCTTCTAAAAATGTGCCTGTCAAGATACACATTGGCTTAATGGTTGCCAAGCAACTAAATATTACATCAGTACACCGTTTTTATAACCGCTGATAATAAAGCCTCCAGCAAAAAAGTATTTCATTAAAAATATTAGTTTAAGAACCAGACTCATTAAATTCATTTGTTATTTAGTTGTTCAGGATTATATACAGTACTGCCTCAAAGCAGGACACACAGCACTCCCTTCTCCATTTCCCCCCCAACTATCATCCTGGGAGGTATGTTGGATCAAGAAAAGTGGCTGGATAAAGATCAGTCAGAATTTCTATGGCTGAGATTGAAACATGAACCTGACTTTACCTTGGCTTACAACAAAATTAATTGAACCATTCCTCCAGACTGGCAATTCATGCATAAAAATGAGTCATTAGCTTAGAGTGATTTGGAACTGGAAGTAAATAATTGCTTCATGGGGTTTGTAGTGGTCTTTGTTTACATATGAAGTACAATTAAGTTTTTTAAAAATGTTTGTGGTACAAACCTTAACAGGACAGCCTATTAGGCCATAATAGAATTCATACTCATTCTAAGCCAAAAGAAGCTAATTATATTCTTATAGGTATAGTGTCTCTTTTCATATGACTGTACAATGAGGATCAGACTTCCTGCTCTGTAGCATCACAACTACATAAAAAAAAAAAATCATCCAGTCAATACCTTCCTGAGACAACAGATGCTACTAGTCAGCTAACTTACAATATTACTGAGTATAAGCACATTTCTCTAATCAAGACTGTAATCTTGTATGTGGATTAAATATCTCATTTTTAAAGCATCAAAAAGTTTTGATGACACTTTTTAGGGCGGTTCATACTTCAGCACAAACCTAGTTCAGGATGAAGCTTTTCTAAAACTTTCATTAAAGAGCTGCTATTTTTGATTCGCATGGAAATAAAAAAAAGCACCTTTTAATCAATAAGAGAGAAATGCTGTGCTCAGGCAAGATTCAAAGCATTTCTTCCAAATCACTGTGGAGTTGACACACTCTTCAAAATATGCTGAACAGAGCAAAAGTGGACAGACAATAGTCCAATACTCTGAGCACCTCTTAGATAAATAATCTCTGAAGCTCACCAATAGATTGCATTCTATTTTGTGCAGCTTCTGTAGAAAAGGAAAGTAGAAGGGAAAAAAGAGAGGGAATAAGAAAAAAAATGAACATGTAAAGCTTCTGATACATCCTAAGATACCTATTTGCCACATCTGACTCAGAGAAGATCTGGAACTTCCAATTCCCCCTTATGGTGATGTCCCATTACCATACAAGGTAATGGCAGTTTAAAGGCAGTTTAAAAGAAACATAGTTGCAGGACAGACAGAGAGACTATTAACTCCTGGATTAGAGACATTGGCCATACTATGGTATGAGCATCACATTACATACAGTTGTTAATGTGACAGAATTTAGGGGACCAGGCGATTGTTTGGATAAGTAACAACAGAGTCTTTGGTATTTAAGCCTATCTATGTTGGCAGTATTCATTGTTACTGTATTTAGAAATTATATTGTTTTTGACTGATTTTCTTTTATTTGCAGAGATAATCAGTTTTATTTATATTAATGTGTATAATTCTGGTTTACTAAACTGCATATCTTGGAATTTAGTCGGATATGGGAGAATTTATAGCTAATACTCATTCCTTTTCTTTCTTTTGCTTGGTATTAATTTTTGGAGAAAGATCATTGCTAGATAAATTAGCAGGGCTTGGTGAAGGAGTATGCATGGCTTTGATCAAGAAGTACAAGGAAGATAGCAAACAAATTCTAAATGATCATCAATTGTTTAATTAATTTTAAGGTTACTAGTCATGTATCAACCTCACAACTAAGATTTGCGAGTTATGTAATAGCGTTTTTATTATATATGTATTCCAAATTTGTAATTTCTATTCCCATCTAGCCCATCGCTCAAGAACAGACTGTTATTTGCCAATGAACCATTCCCTAACACAGCAATAAACAGGATGAGAATATCAAGAATTCATATCTGTTTTCAAACAGGTGACCTTCCTTCTTTCCATCCTTTTTTCTATCTTCTCTTTTAGTCCATGAGCCTGGAGGCAAGCTATGTCTTATTTTCTCTTCTATGCCTAACTGTAGTCTATACTGAATCTTGAATTCTGATTTAGGAAAATATTTTTATTGAATGTGGACATTAAGGAATAAAAATAATTTTATGTATATATCAAAAAGGAAATCTGTGTTAAAGTAAGTTGATTTTTAAGGGAGTATTTAACGAAAAAATATGATTTTTGTCAACTGGAGCAAAACTGTACAGGTAACAGAAATATCAGTAGAATAATGTCTAAATGAAAAGCTTTAACATCCAGAGCCTATATTTATTCCTGAATATTAAACATAAAACCTGCCTAACTTAATATTTGCTACAATCCAGAGCGCTGTGTAAATAAATCTATTGGGTTTCCTGCATAACAGATTCTAATTAGTTGCCAGGATCTTTTAAAAGACTGCCAAGAAATTGTAGTTAATTTATGAAGATTCATGACTACATCCTGAAGAAATCTTACGGATCAATTGATGAGCCCCTGACTTTGTTTCCAAAGTCAGGGGATCATCAATTGTACCTCTGTTGATGATTCAGATTCAAATTCTTTGATCTTTAGCATTAAATACTATCAAAGTATTGGTGTTAAATAGAATTTCTGGAGGAACTATTAATCTCCATGAGGGCAATCTTATTTGTCCATAAAAATTATGCAAAAAGAACTAACCAGTAGGCTAAACTATTAAACAAGCTATTATTCCCCCCCACCCCCTTTTCCCAGCTGATTTACAGGTGTCTTGTCGGTGATATCATTTATCTCATTGATTTTTGCTATTCTGCTCTGGTCACTTTTGCTATTTTACATACCTACGTAAATATTGTATGAACCTCTGACTACTTATTCAAGCAATTTCCAGCATTTTGCAGTGTTCCTACCATGTGTTTTTAGAAAAGACACTTTGATTTTAAGAATTTTGAATGCTGTTGC